AAAAAACATATTTTCAATATTCACATTCGATAATTATATTATATTATTTATTATAACACATTTTGAAAAAGAAAAATTTGGAATACGTGGAAATAATTCTAACGATATGAAAATTAATTAAAGGAACGTGAAAATGTTTCTCATGTTCGGGGTTTTTCAATCTACGACACGACGACGACGTGTTTTCTCTTACACGATATCAAAAAAAACGTACGTGTAGAAATACATACGAGACCTCTATATAGCCCGTTAACCTTCTGAAGGTAGAACGGAGGTGTGGCACACCCCCGTTTCTCTAAACACGAACGTACCGAACAGCTATAACAATGGTCTACGTAGATGGAAGATTGCAAGCAAAAGTGCAACGTTCACGTGCAAAGGTCTCACGAAGAAAGAAAGAAAGAAAGAAAGAGAGAAAGAAAGAAAAATAAAGAAAGATAGATAAAGACAGAAAGACACACACTCGACTTAACTAACTCGCGTGTTGAATAAAATTACAACTTTAGTCGATATTTAAATAATTTCATTTAAATCGAAAAAAAAAATCCCATCTCGTCGATCGTTACTAACAATTTTTTATAAATGATATTATAATCAAAAACAATTTGTGATCATTATCTATTAATGATATTATTAATTTTTTCTTTTCATGAATTTCATTAATTTTTAATGTAGTTTAGTTCAATTTTTAATAAACTTTACCTTCACTATAAGAATGTGAGTGTAAAATTATAATTAAAAATATAAAATCACGTTTAGTGTATCAAATTGATTAAACATCGACATTGAGGATTTAGAAAAATCACATACACACACATACACACACACACACGCACACACACACACAGGACACATATTCCTGTTCGTAATCCGTGTTAAAATAATACTCACACACAATCTCTGAATTATATTCGATCGTATTTTAATATGATTCCAATCCCGACCCTTCCGTTCTTTTCCCATTAGTTCGTAAGTTTTACGTTCATAATTTAATGTTTAAATATAACTTTTTGTTTTTATATATATGAGAAGAAAAAAAAATATATATATTATATATTATATTATATATTTTTCTTATTATAAGTCCTGGCTTTTATGCCGAGTAAAATAATATTATTAAACTAGCGATAATTATAAGAGAAACCGATGGTTGTTAAATAAACCTTATTAATAAATGACGAATCCAATCCACGAAGGTTACCATGGTAACGAAAAATATATATATTTAGAAAAATTAAGGAATTATTTTTAATGCGAGATATTTTTGATAATACTCAGAATGCTTAAACCTCTAGCCGAAGATAATTAAATTAGATTACTTTTGATTATCATTATATTATCATTACTATTATTATTATTATTATCATCATAATTATTATTAATAATTTTATTATTATTATTATTATTATTATTATTATTATTATTATTATTATTA